TTCACCTCTCTAGGGCGGTAAGTCGATCTACTATGAGATGCTGCCGGAGTTCAGTGTGGACATAGATGGAGACATCGACTGGCCTGTTGCAGAACAGAGGGTTCTCAGGTGAGAAGCGCCTCTCAGTCTGCTTTTAATCAACTATCGACTCCTTTTCTCTTTAATCTATGCTTCCTCAATCAGGTACGGGTACCCCGGTAAGGTAGTCCGCCTGCTGTTCTGCAATGTTTCTGCATGTTTAGCAGAAGGAATCAACGCTCTGTCTAGTAATACCAGAAACACATCTGCTATTCACATGCTGCAGGAAAAACAAGTGGAGGTTGGCTTTTTTTTTCATCAGCTGTCTGAACAGAATTGAGTAAACTGACCCATCATGTATAACATTGCCCACAAACTGCCCTCTGTCTTGTTTCACAAGGTCATTCTGTTGACCTCCAGTGATGACGCTGTGGCCCAGTCTTTGGCTGCCAAACTTAAAAAAAGGACAGGGTGCCAGGTCATGGAGGTGGGAAAGAAGCCGCTGAACGATTTGCAAGAGGTCATGAAGAACAAGAGTCTGGACTGGAAACATGTGGCATTCATGGGTAAAACAACTGCACTCTTATTTCTTGAGAGTTATCATTTCAGTTTAGCCTCACTATGTTTTTCTGTTCCCCCCCCTCAGGTTTTGATCAAGCAGATGAGAAATTGCTGAAGCTGGCAGGTTTGAGTGCAGTACCCGGGGATGCTCCAGAGTTGGCCTCAAAGGCTGCAAAGTACATCTGCCCCCTTTCTAGGGGATCAGGAGCTGTGTGGGATTTTGCTGAGCTCATTCTCCTGCAGAAACCAATGGCAAAACCTCAGTAGGACCACAGCATTTGTAAGAAGTTCTAATGGCAGATTAATTTTGATAAATGGAAGAAATCAAAATAATTAAAATTAGTCATGTATATGTTAGAAATGTCAAGAGACGGGTTTGTAGTAATGGTAAAAAAGCAGATCCTCATTCACTTCTAAGTTTTTTTTGTTTTTTTTTTATATCAGGACATAATAAAATAATCATCTGGTCCTCACCAGTTGCTAAAAATGGGGAAAGGCAACTTTGGATGTGTAAAAACACACGGCCTACTACACTTCGTCCCAATTTAACAGAAGCTAAGCCAAAATGCAGGAGGTTAGCAGCACCTGCTAGTCAAATTCATTTGATTAATTTATCATCAGCATGTGTGTGGACCTCTATAAAAGCAGAGGTTTGACCATTTTTAAGGTCCAGAGCTCTCACCTGTGAGTTAACACAATGCCACACACTTCCCAGAAGTTGACGTCTCATGATCCCAAGGTCGGACTGTGCGATGTTCAAAGAGTGCAAAAAAACAAACAAACAAAAAACAGAAAAAGACTTCACAAGTATGGCTTGTTTGGAAGGGTTGCTAGCAGAAAGTCTCTTCTGCTTCTAAAAACAATGTGACAGCATGGCTTAGGTTGATTAAAGTGTATCTGAACAAGACTTCTGACCCGGCCAAGGTGGAGATGTTTAGCTATAATGCACAGCACCATGTTTGGAGAAAACGAGCACAGCATCAGCAGAAACACCA